GGTTGCTGCAGCAGTCCTAAGTTTATTTAAAAGTCTTTTGTTTAAATATATATTTATTTATATTTATTTATTTTATTTTATTTTAAGTAAAACAGCAAAATAAACATTAAAATATTAATATATGCTCAATTTACTGCGCAGACTGGTGGTGAGACCAATGGCCTTAAACCCTAAACCCTGAACCCTAAACCCTAAACCCTAACCCCTAAACCCTAAACCCTAGCTGATGCAGCTGAACCCTAAACCCTATACTCTTTAAAAAGGTAAATTTTGATTTCCATTTAAATTTAAATAAAAATATAGATGCGATGTACTTCGTTTGCTGCTCACAGCTGCAGCAGCAGCAGCAGCAGCAGCAGCAGCAGCAGCAGCAGGTATACGCACGTACACCTGGATATATTATAATTGTTTGGAGGGTTTATAGTAAAAATATAAATAAAAAGAAGTAATCGCCCCTTTATAAATATTCATCTGTCTTGTCTAACACACATTTTGCTGTCTGCTGCAGTGCTGGCTTCTTATGTCTGTCTTTGTTTCTTTTCTTTAATTTTATTTTTTTTAAAGATCGTTTTTAAAGACCTTTAAACTCAAAAAGCAGAGAACAACCACCAAGACACCGCCATCTTCTACGCCTTAGCTAGAAGCACAGCTAGCTAGCTAGCTAGCTGGCTGTCTTTAGCTAGCTGTACAGCTAGCTAGGTATATGTCCCTAGCTAGCTGCACAGCTAGCTAGCTACAGCTAGCTACCAGCTAGTTGCTATTTGGGAGGAGAGGAACACTAAACCCTAAACCCTAAACCCTTGGTCTAAACATTAAAGCTGTCGGGGGTTTGGGGGGGCTCCGCTGCAGGAGCTGGGGCCTGCATCGCAAGCAGCCGGAGACAAAACCCTAAACCCTAAACCCTAAACCTTAAACCCTAAGCTGAAAATGCTGAAGTTTATGTTCACTGCAGGTGCAGTGAACATCCTCTGCTAGATTAGGCTTTGGAGTTGAAGGACGAGAGGGTTTAGGGTTTAGGGTTTAGGGATATTATTTAAGGGTTTAGGGCCCCAACATAAGAATCTATGTGTTTAGGGTTTGTGTTTAATATATTAATTTTAAAATCAAGCGTTTAGCTCTCGCTGGTTTTTGCGCTGGACTGCGATCATCTTAGGGTTTAGGGTTTAGGGTTTAGGGTTTAGGGTTTAGGGTTTAGGGTTTGACCTGAGTGAGTATTTGATTAGGGTTTTGCGTGTCTGCATCATTGGAGGGTTTAACTGAAGATAATTTATAAGCAATGCTGCGCCTACCGAGGGCCCCTCCAGCAAAAGAACTTTGCTGCATGCATTTACTTTTGCTGCTGGGGGCCCCCTGACTTTGAACAACATAAAACCCTCCAAAGCTTTCTTTGGGTATTGCCCTGAGGCTCGAGGTCTTCATCAACTCTCCGTCCGAACCCCCTAAACATATCAACAAACAATAATAATAATAATAATAATTAATAGTAATAATAATAATAATAATAGTTAATAGTAATAATAATAATAATAATAATAATAATAATAATAATAATAATAATAATAATAATAAT